TTCTGTCCCTGTGATCACTAGATTTTGAAAACAATGGCTTGTTATGGAAACAAGGATTGGGGATAATCAGGGGTACATCTTTTCCCAGGATAACGCTTTCAGGAATGAATTTCCCTTCGTAGAGATAGATTTCACCCACTTCCTGTTGTCTCACCCCCTTCTTAACTATCAGTTGTTTGTAAATCAGTGTTTACAACTCAGGGTCTGCCTATACATACATATAAGATTTTTGAACCTTGGTATTATTGAGTCTTACTGGATTTATCTTACTAACTCATATTCCTTAAAAAGGTAAAGGTTTCCCTTGACATTAAGTCTACATCTGTCTATCTACATTTCTAATTCAAAGAGCTGGCGTTGTCATAGACACATGGCCAGCATGACTGCATGGAGCTCCATTACCTTCCTGCCGAAGCGGTACCTATTGATGTCACATTTGCATGTTTTTGAATTAGGTTGGCAGAAGCTGGGGCTAACAGCAGGAGCTCACCCCACTCCCCGGATTTGAACCACCAACCTTTCGGTCAGTAAGTTCAGCAGCTCAGCAGTTTAACCCACTTTGCCACCAGGGAGCCCCTGCTCATATATTGATGAAGCACCCTCGTGGCTAATCCCTGTGCAGAATCCTGCTAGGAAAAGTGGAAGGTAGAATACATAAAGGCATAAAGGCCCTTAACTTATATAAGTTAAGGGTCTTTATGCCTTATACACATAGGGATAACAGGTGAAAAAGCAATGGCGACATAAACATTCCAGATTATATTCTGTGTTCCCCAAACCCTTTAGAGCACTGATTCTCAACCTTTCTAATGCTGCAACCCCTTAATACAGTTCCTCATGTTGTGGTGACCTCCAACCATAAAATTATTTTCATTGCTACTTCATAATAACTGTTGTTGTAATGTAAATATCTGATATGCAGGATGTATTTTCATTAAGTGGACCAAATTTGGCACAAATATCTGATATGCCCAAATTTGAATCCTGGTGAGGTTGGAGGGGGAATTTATTTTGTCATTTGGGAATTGTAGTTGCTGGCATTTATAGTTCACCTACCATCAAAGAGCACTCTGAACTCCACTATTGATGGAATTGAACCAAACTTGGCACACAGAACTCCCATGACCAACACAATACTGGAAGGCTTTGGTGGGCATTGACCTTGAGTTTTGGAGTTGTAGTTCACCTACATCCAAAGAGCACTGTGGACTCAAACAATGATGGATCTAGACTAAACTTGGCACGCATACTCAATATGCCCACATTTAAACACTGGTGGAGTTTGGGGGAAATAGACTTGACATTTGAGAGTTGTAGTTGCTGGGAGTTAACCTACCATCAAGGAGCATTCTGAACCCCACCAATGATAGTATTGGGTGAAATATCCCACACAGAAACCCCATGACAATCAGAAAATCCTGTGTTTTCTGATGGTCTTTGGCGACCCTTTTGACACTCCCTTGCAACCCACCCAGGGGTCCCGACCCCCAGGTTGAGAAACACTGCTCTAGAGAAGTTCACCAGGGGAAAAGTTGCAGCAAAGAGGTGTTCAAAGATGCTGTTGAACAGCGCTACTCTTGTCTTTGCTCATGCTTAATACTGTGTGCGTTCAGGCAAGTGCACAACCAGCTTTCAAGTAGTAGACTTTTGATCCCAGTTGGGTTGAAAGAACTAATTTCTCAGCACTCACACAAGCACAAGATAAGAAAACAGATAGAAGAAACGGGCTATTACTTTCAGGTGATAGAATATTTTTCTGGGATCCCATTGGATTGTCTTGAAAACTATGTTTCAAAGTAGTCTTCAAGATAATTTCATGGGATCCTATGTCCAGAGAAACACCTCTGGGGAAATATGCCTTGGGGAAGTCGGTGTTAGGTTTGCTGCGTTAGCAAGCTTATTGCCAGAACTGGGGAAGATTTCATGGTAAAAATGAATTCAGAAGTCTGTCCAGGGATTGAGAGCGGGCACACAAACCTGAAGGGCACAATTTAAAAAGTGATCCTTTTGTTATTCTAAAATGGACTGCTGTGGCAAATACATGACATCAACAAGAGTGCTTATGTTCCATAAGAGATATGCTTTCCATTTTTATTCCTTTCAATGCGTCAAGTAACTCCATTTATGTCAGATAGGTCTCTGTCTCTTGACCCCTCAACCTGTCTGCAAGCATATCCTCTGCTATTCCTAATTGCTCCCTGGTTCCTTTTGATTCTTCTTCTTCTTCATTCCTTCCATCACTCTATTTACAAAACTGGCTTTTGTCTTTGTGGATTCTTTTTGAGTAACAGGAAGTTGGGGAGGGTGACAGAGGAGAGTTAGGGGCTCGAGGGACACAGAAAAGCTACAGAAAGCATTCAACTATTTTTTTTCTATTGAAAACGAATCATATATAGATGAAGTACTCCTTTGTGCGTCTGGAACTGTACTATCTAGTTTTAGATTCCTGCTGCCAGCACGTTCAGTTGTGGGTGTGTATATGTGTGTGTGGGAATGAATGAATGTGAATACACTCTGGGTCACATGGTTCTGTATTATTATTTTTTAACTGCAAGCCAAGCAAATATTTTAAAATGAGATCCTCAAAAAAGAAGAAGAAAAGAAACAAGTATGCATTTTGTTGTCATTTTAAAAAGAAGTTAGGTTCTAGAATTCTTTGTCCTAAAGTCTCATATTTTAGCCATTCTTACTCTTTCTTATTCTTGACTGCATAGGTGGAATAATAATAATAATCATCATCATCATCATCATCATCATCTTTATTTTTACCCTGCTTACATGAGGCCAAGCCCGGCGACACATTACAGCAAAATAAAATACACAACAACAAAAATCACATCAGAATAAAATAAATACATTCAGGTAAAACAAACTGTGCAAATTAACATAATGGAAAAACAAACAGAGTAGGCGGGCCAAATGCACGACATAAAATGATAAAACTCTGGATGAGATAGTAATGAGAAAGGTATATTTGTGGGGGAGGAGTTCGTAGGGGATGGAACAGTGGAGGGGGGAGTGCAATTTGAGGACAAGACTGTGGGTGAAACAGCAAGAACGGAATATATGAACAGATTGTTTATCTGTTGACGTGATTCTTTAAGTGGTCATCTGTAAAGTCATGTGTGGGCCAATCTTCTGAAATGTCTATAGAGTTTTGGTGGTAACCCTGCCTCTCCATTCTGCATGTGCTCTAGATGTTTCTTGCTCAGCTCTCCTCCATGTCTACTGCTGTGGAATCAAACAGTCAGAAGTATGATGATGGGCTAGAGAGTTGTATGAGTTCTCGGGTGGCTATTTGAAAGACCACAGTTAACAGGTTGCTAATCTCTTTGTGGTGTCTTTCATTCACACACCTAAGAGACTTAACAACCTGGTCAGCTCATAGGTAAGAGAGTCGTGCCTGCAAAGCATGTAAAATGATTTGTCCAAAGGAAGTAGATGCTCAATCTGTCATATCCAGTCTGTAGTGTGTTGTAAATGTCAAAAGGCTTGGGCAATGCAGATACTAGACACACTACTTGCAAAGAGACTTTCACCAGAAATTTTCATAAAGCTGCAAATGCTCTAGTATAGAGTTTCTCAAACTGTATCCCTTCAAGATGTTTTGGACTTCAGCTCCCACAATTCCTAACCATTGGTAAACTAGCTGGGCTTTCTGGGAGCTGAAGTCCAAAATACCCGGAGGAGCACAGTTTGAGAAATATTACTCTAGTACAGTGGTTTCCAACCTGTGGTCAGTGGACCACCGGTGGTCCCCAAGAACTAAAATATGGTTTGTGGCCTCACCTTCACTACACCGTTGCAACAAGAGTGACTGGTCTTGCAAAACCCTCTTATAGTGCCAAGGTAACGGGGGTGTTGGGAGGGGAGAGGCTGACTACCCACGAAAGGCATGACAACAAACCTCCTGACTGCTGCTTTTCTTCCTCCTCCCTCCCCCGAGCGGAGCCATTCCATGGAAACAGGGGCGCCTTGGTGTCTTCGTTTTTAGGCCTGTTCCTGGGGTTATTTGGGGTGCTGAAAATTGTATTAATAATAATTACGTAATAATCTTAATAATAATAATAATCTTGACCACATCATCTCAAGATTATTAAATATGGTTTTCTATGAGTGAGCAGATAGTGACTACTGGATGACATATATTCTGTATCAGAAACTAGAGCTGATGTGGTCTATTCAATGCAATTTTCTCAATCAGTACCCCAAATAACCAAACTGAATCTAAAGTTGACCAAAAACTGATTCATAACCCTTTTGGTATTAATGTTGGAGAGTGGTCCTTGGTAAAAAAAAAAAAAAGGTTGGGAGCCACTGCTCTACCAAAACAGGTTTCTTAGCTGTCTCATAGATGATGGAAATGCATGTATTAAATTAACAAAGTCATTCTGAGACTTTCTAAATGGTTGAAATAAAAGGCTAGTGTTCTTTCTACATTTAGGTTGTGTAATTACTTGAAGCAGTTTTGAGTCTTTCTCAATTCAAATGCAGTAGGAAAATATATGGGAGAACCTTAGTGCTGTATAACATATAAGAAAATTTGGATGGTGCTTAAAAGGAGTTTTCTTTTCTTAATGAAAGGAATAGTGCAATACAGGGATAGAGAAGTATGGTTTTGAGTTGAGTTCCCAAAAACCAAATTGTTTGCTTTTATCATGAGCATAAGTGAATGGACTTATTTTCTATGTGATGCAGAATGTTTATTATAGTTTACAAATCTGTTGATCCCATTTATTTTTGCTCCACTCTAGAAATGGCTCACTTTAGGTCTGTTTGCATTATGCAGTGAATTGAAGCGGCTTTTTTTGGATAGTACTGGAGGTGTTTGGAAGATAAAGCTAGGAATTATTGTCTTATGTTACCAATATATTTTGAAATTTTGGACATAACTTGAACTCTGATGTCTGTCTCCTGTCTGTCATGGAACAATGAGTGAACCATTGACTGAAGCCAGTCAACAGAACCCGCTAATATCTTTATTCTTTTTCTCCATTTAGGTATGACTCGGGGAAGGATGGTTACATTGATCTTATGGAACTGAAGCTGATGATGGAGAAACTTGGTGCACCTCAAACTCATCTGAGTCTGAAGAACATGATCAAGGAAGTGGATGAGGACTTTGATGACAAACTCAGTTTCCGTGAGGTAAACATCAGCAGAAAATAGAACGCAGAATCCAATGGGGGATCAGAATGTGGAACTTGGCTATCCCATTAGCTTTGTCCCTTCTCTGTGCCTTGAAGTCCCTTACTATCCAACGGGATTAGTATAGCATACCAGCATATCAAATGCCACAGAAAGATCTAGGAGAACCAATAGTATATCACTTCCTTTGTCCAGTTCTCAGTGTAGGTTCAAGACTATTTCTGTTTCATAACTAGGACTGAACACAGATTGCTGCTTTATAGCGGTTAGAACATGGTCTTCTTTCCAAGAAGCATTTACAACAGTGGTTCTTAACCTGTGGGCTGTGGACCACCAGTGGGCCACAAGGATGAAAATCTGGTCCACGAGCCTCCTTCCTCTTTATTTATTTATTTATTTATTTATTCAATTCAGTTTATTGTATTTCTGCTCCTTTCGTGCCACCTGCCACTCCTTCCCTGTCGCTAACCATGGCATATGTTCTGTATCAGAAACTAGAGCTGATGTGGCCTATCCAATGCAGTTTTCTGAATCAGGCCACCAAATAACTAAACTCAATCTAAAGTTGACCATGATTCGTAACCTTTTTGGTACAAATGTTGGAGAGGGGTCCCTGGTCAAGTGGGGTCTCATCAAAGTGGTCCCTGGTCAAAAAAAGATTGGGAACCACTGATTTACAACCTCGACCAGTTAATCGGCTGGTCCTCCTCTGGTAGCTTTTACTATGTGGAATGGACATGGGTTAATTTCCTTCTGTCGTTTCCACTTTTGATGCACGCAATCAACAGAGACGAAGCTAGGTAAAATAATAAATTTGTAGGATATTTATCAAACCTGGGAAGAATACCAGGTGACCTTTGCTTTCATGCACTTCTCATTCATGACCTTGCTATTCAGTATGCGCTCTCTTGTTCCCATGACCTTGTGGAAATTCCCAACACAAATTATTTACTAACTTTAAAGATAGTTCTTGCAGCATAGTAAATGTTATCTTTAAAGCTGGCTTCTCTTCCTCTGCCAACTAACTAACACTAACTTAACAAGTTTCAGCCAGTTTTTTTAAACATCAACAAGAGTTGCTCAGAAAGTCTTAAAGGGACAGTATATTATATCTACATTGCTGGATCCTGGCATTAAATTGCATTCAATCTTTTTGCCCATTACTTAATTATTATTTTTGTTATTTAACCTACTTCCTACATGAAAGTTCATTTTAATTTTTGAAAACAGTTTTGTTCAATGCACATCATCATGAAAAATGGAATAAAATAATGTTTAAGTTGGTAAAAAATAGTCAATAGATAAGCATAACTTTTTGATTTCTTACTCAGTAGTACCTTGAGCACTAAGAGAATGTATCAGGCTCAGGCAGAGACTATTTTCTGTAAGGGAACAATCCGCCTCCCCTATTTTGAACTCATGAATCAGCTTTGAAATAATGAATCATTTAACATGTAGGATTCAAGAAAATGAAACTGCTTTCTCTGCATTTTAAAAATAAGCATCAGGAAGAGGATGAAATATGTGATTTTGTGCTGATCTGTTACAACTAAGAAGTCTATAAAAGGCTACAAAACCGCTTCACAGAAAGAATCCTGTGATGTTATTCACACTGGAGCTAACTATAAGTTTTATCTAGACATAAGCAACTTGCACCTACATATGTTCTCCCATCAGCATTCTGGCAGTCTAGCCACTGGCAACTGTAGGATCTGCTCATATTTTTCTGCTTTTTATATGGCTTCAGACTGTATTCCCCTACCACTCTGTGCTACAGGAAAAGAATTAATGGGAATTCCCTAGGATGAGGCAATAACTATAGAACTTATACAACTATTTCCTGTTACAACAGTTACCTATTGCAGGTTGCCTTAACAAAGGGGCATTTTAATAAAGTTAATTTTATACTTTTGGCACTTTAAGCCTATCAATACATCACCAATTGCCTCCAAACCAGTGCACTCCCAATTTCAAGGTGAATAAAGTTACATTTAAAGCCATACGGCAACTGTCACTAACTTGACTTCAACCAGAATAGTGACTAGTGCTGTTAAAGGTAAAGGTAAAAGTTTCCCCTAACATTAAGTCTAGTTGTGTCCGACTCTGGGGGGTGGTGCTCATCTCTATTTCTAAGCCGAAGATCCAACATTGTCCGTAGATGCCTCCAAGGTCATTTGGCCAGCTTGATTGCATGGAGCTCTGTTACCTTCCCGCAGAAGCAGTACCTATTGATCTGCTCACATTTGCCTGTTTTCTAACTGCTAGGTTGGCAGGAGCTGGGGCTAACCATGGGAGCTCACCCTGCTCCCTGGATTCAAACTGCCAACCTTTCAGTCAGCAACTTCTGTAGCTCAGCGGTTTAAGGCTAATTCAAAATACATGTAGAATATCTTTGCTCTTTTTATGTATTTTTATAGCAGAGGTATCTTTAAAATATGTGTGTAATTGTGACTCATAATAAGATAGTGTCTACTCATGAGAATTCCACAGTGAACCTGCAATTAAGCAGTATGATATGATAACAGTGATATTGTTTCGTTATTCTGTTCCAAAGCTTAGATACCATACTGGAGAAAAGTATGGATTTCTTCAATTGGTATCTGAAAAGCATAGATAGCTGCATTGTTTATAAAACCCCAATTTGCATCCTTGAATCCATTCAAGCTCTGCTAATTCTGTCCTGAAATCTTGTGAAGGATCTCTTCAAAAGCCACACAAATTCTGTGAACATGCTGAAGTGCTTGCTTGCCATTTATGCACAGAGTCCCTTCTGTCCCTGTACACAGAGATGATCTGAATTTGGCAACTTGTATCTATGACATGTTCCCAGCTGTTTGGTGAGTCATTCCCACATGCTTTTTTTTGTACTGTGTCCACTGGTACAAAAGCATATTTTCTTCCTTTCCCAGCCAAATGGGGAATCTGCTCACTTTTGAAAACTGAATTATTTTTTCTCCTTCTCCCTGTCCTTCGCAATATGCTTGCGTGGTCTGAACTGGCATTCTGTAGACTAGAGTGTTCTTTGGTATCAAGGGCTTCCTGTTGGAAGTAAACATATGAACAAGCCTCTTCTGTGGAGGTGGTGTTGGAAACAGGGAAAGGAATAACTGACTGATAATGATGTGGACTTAGCTTCAGGTCCATGGAATTATATGGGCATTCTTACATTTAGTTGGAACAAATAATCTTGCATTATTTGATGAGTGGGCAGAGCTTGACTGGGGTGTTTGCATCGTTAGCTGGACTTTTTATTCAAACAAATCTTCAATTATATCTCTGTGTGAAGCAAAAACATTTTAATCTTCCAAGCCCTACATGGTTTGGGTGCAAGTTACCTACAGGATTGCCTTCTCTCATACAATCTGTCCCAAATACTTGGGTCCTCTGGGGGGCAGCTACTCCAGCCCACCAGAACCCGACTGTCGATTGACACCCAGAGGACCTTTTCATCGGCCACCCCAAGACTATGGAACGTCCTGCTGGAAGAGATCCAAAAGCTAAATGAGCTGTCAGAATTTGAAACACACCTGAAAACCTATTTTTTTCCAACAGACTTACACAGCCATATATCCCAGCATCTGATCCCAGATTATCTGCTTTGAGCTGGATTGTATGAGTCTCCACTGTCATATAATCTATATATATATATATATATATAAATGCTCTGTGCATAACGAGTACCTTAAAAACAAAAGAACCAATGAACGAAATCACACCAAATTTGGCAACAAAACATCTCACAGCACAAGGAGTGACCATCACTCCAAAAATTGTAATTTGGAAGTTGTAGTTGCTGGGATTTATAGTTCACCTACAATCAAAGAGCATTCTGAACTCCATCAACAAGGAAATTGAACCAAACTTGGCACACAGAACTCCCATGACCAACAGAAAATATCGGAAGGATTTGGTGGGCATTGACCTTGAGTTTGGGAGTTGTAGTTCACTTACATCGAGAGCACTGTGGACTCAAACTATGATGGATCTGGACCAAACTTGGCACAAGCACTCAATACGCCCAAATATGAACACAGATGGAGTTTGGGGGAAATACACCTTTACATTTGGGAGTTGTAGTCATTGGGGTTCACAGTTCACCTACAATCAAAGAGCATTCTGAACCCCACGAATGACAGAATCAGGGCAAACTTCCCACACAGAACCCCATGACCAACAGAAAATACTCAAGGCCATCCAATCCAACTCTATCAGGGCAAGAAAACAAAATCCTCCTGACAGAGAGCCATCCAGCCATAGATAAAGATAGATGATAGATAGATAGATAGATAGATAGATAGATAGATAGATAGATATGATTCACACACACACAGATATAGTATCATAGATTTGAAAGGGACCCTTAAAGAAGGACAATGATATGTTGCATGTTCCAGGGTGGGCAAACCAGACACTCTCCACCTCAACACTGACAAAGAAACAGCAAGAAATACTGTTTACCCACAAGCATAAAGAAATTACATATATTAGAAACCAACACTTTCTCATTACTTTATTTTCCAGATGAACAGACTGGGCCACAGCAATGCATGACAGGGGACAGCTAGTCTGAGATAAGAAGATAGTCTGGGGTCAGATTCTGGGATATAGGGCAGTGTAGAAGGGGTCTTTGATTGAATGTTTGGATATTGCCCAATAATATCTGGGTTTTCCAAGCTACTATTTACTAGCCCAATGATAAGATATTCAATACTAGCTTGCAGTTACATCAGTTCTTATGGTGAAGAAAGCTGCTTCTTTCAAATTGGTTGGAACCACTCCTTCTAACAAAAAAGCACTTACAGCATCCAGGACAACCTTTCATTGCAGCACAGAAGAATAAACAAATGATTAAAATGTGGAAGGTATTTTGTCCCTTTCCAGACATCTTGTCAGCTTTGCTTGAGTGCTAATAAATGAAATTTGTTTAGTAATGTCTGGGCACATGTACAGATAATAAGAATAGCTAGGTTGCGGTTAGCTGAATGCAGTGCTATCAAGAAATTTAGCAAATAAAACATAGTAAACATTGATTTCTGAACATCATACTAATAGCCTGAGACCATCCAGAAAAACACTTTTGGAAAGCACTGCACAGATATTGTGGTAGTAGAGAAGTATTGTCTGTTTGATGCTATCCTCATTGCAAAGTGGGCTCTGAAGTGAGTTGTTGTGTTTGGTTGAGTCTCTTTGGAATTTTGCTACCTGTTTTTAGCCATTTCCTCATCTGCTTCATTGTCCTTCTCCCACAAACCTAGTTCTTATTGGTGGAAAATGACTCATAGAAGTGAATGTGTCAGAGTAATCTTTGTGTTCCATAAAGTTAGTGGAGCATTGATAGAAAGGCCTGCCATGTTATGAAGAAACTCATCCAGATCAATCAATCTCTTAGGATAGATCATTGATAACCATGTATAAATATGTGAGAGGAAGCCCCAGGGAGGAGGGAGCAAGCTTGTTTTCTGCTTCCTTGGAGACTAGGACGCGGAACAATGGCTTCAAACTACAAGAGAACATGAGGAAGAACTTCCTGACTGTGAGAGCCGTTCAGCAGTGGAACTCTCTGCCCCGGAGTGTGGTGGAGACTCCTTTGGAAGCTTTTAAACAGAGGCTGGATGGCCATCTGTCAGAGGTGATTTGAATGCAATATTCCTGCTTCTTGGCAGGGGGTTGGACTGGATGGCCCACGAAGTCTCTTCCAACTCTTTGATTCTATGATTCTATGATTGTCATTGATGCCCAACTCCAGCAGACAAAAATCACAATGAACCTGAACCTGTACAGCAGGTGATTTCACTGTGACAAGGAAATGCTTTTGGAAAGTATTGCACCTTTATTCTCAAGCCCTGACATGAACACAGAGTCCAGAATAGGACTTGCAACTTGTGTTGTGGTCATGTATAAACTTGTTCTAATGATGTATTGAGCCAGGAGTTTACAGGACCAGCATCTGGGAGGTCTGCAATAACACTCTTGTCATTTCAGCTAATGGCACATTAACTTAATTATTTATTTGTCCTAGTTGCACAACACAAGATACAGACACTTAAAATTGGCAGCTGGTTGTATAGGAAGGCCTGACCAAAGATTAAGAACCCTCATGATCCCATAAGACTGGGCTGTGGCGCAACTAGTTAGTAGCCAGCTGCATTAAATCACTACTGACTGAGAGGTCATAAGTTCAAAGCCAGCCTGGGTTGGAGTGAGCTCTTGACCATTAATGGTCTAGCTTTCTGTTGACCTATGCCAGGGGTCCTCAAACTAAGGCCCGGGAGCCGGGTGCGGCCCTCCAAGGTCATTTACCCAGCCCTCGCTCAAGGTCAACCTAAGTCTGAAACCACTTGAAAGCACACAACAACAACAAAAACAATCCTATCACATCAGCTAAAATTAGGCCCATGCTTCCCATTGAAATACTAATAAGTTTATATTTGTTAAAATTGTTCTTCAGTTTAATTATTGTATTGTTTTAAGTGGTTTTTGCACTACAAATAAGATATGTGCAGTGTGCATAGGAATTCATTCATTTTTTTTCAAATTATAATCTGGCCCTCCAACAGTTTGATGGACTGTGACCAGGCCCTCTGTTTAAAACGTTTGAGGATCCCTGACCTATGCAGTCCGAAAGACCGTTGCATCTGTCAAGTAGGAAATTTAGGTACCGCTTTATGCGGGGAGGCTAACTTAACTAATTTACGACCCCATAAAACCTTCCAGCTGTGTGCGTAAGAATGAGGAAGTACTCCATCAAGGACTTGGTGTCACAAGTGGACAGTGAAGCAGCAGCTCCCCCTGTGGCCGGAATCAAACATACCCTCATGAAGCCGGAAACCTGGAATGTTAAATTGCCTCTGTGTCTGTCTATATATGTTGTATGTCTAATGGCATGGAATGTTTGCCATGTATATCTGCATTGTAGTCCACCCTGTGGGGCGAGAAGAGAGGGATATAAATACTGTAAATAAAATAATATTTTTTTTCTACACACCATTGGCGTAAATCAGGCCTGCATTGGTATTACGCCAATATTGCAGACAGGCACAGCTTCACCCACAAGATTTCAGCAATAAATGCAAACTGATACCATTCTAAACCCTGTTAAAAGGATATCTGGTAATCCTGGGAAGGATGACCTGTGCCTGAAGGTCTAGTGAGCCATTTTTGATTAGACAGTACTTAGGTAGGCATATCTGTGATCTGACCTGCTAGGAGGTGGCTTCATAATTGTTTACAGTTCTCCAATTGCATGAAGTTTTAACTAGTGTGTCTTGCATCACAAATCGAATGATACTCTGCAAGAGAAATCCAGAGACAGGGTGTGTTAGCCAAGCCACGGAGCCTCTCCCTATCTCCACCCTATCCCAGTTTTCGTCCTCTCAGTGAGTAATGGCCATGTCATGACAATGTCTTCATGAGAAATGTGTTGAGACTAAGAATGTGATTCACTACAAAGGACTGCTCAGCTATGTCCCAGCAAAACTCGCAGGAAGTTAAATGAATAAACATATTATGTGCGTGGCTAGAAAGCAGCCGAGCAGTTTCATTATATTCTCTCACACTTTCCCAGGGGATTTTCAGAGGGTTTTTTTTTCCAATTTTTGTTTCATATGCTATATTAGTAAGCAGCTGGAGAGCAAACATGGGAACAAAGACTTCTGCCAGATGCCTAATTTCCTGGATGTAGCTTCTAGCATGCTGAGGTTTTGGTGCCCTCTAGTGAAGGAATATGATCTGTGCATGGAATGAATAGTGATAACAGTCCCAATTGTGCAGAAACACTTAAATGACTTGTTAGTAGCACTTGCAATTACTACTACTCTGATTTGTAGATGTATTCCTCTTTTATTCTTTTTGGTAAAAATGAACTAAAATATTGGTAAATCCAAGTAGTGAATTGTCTGAATTTTATCAACTTTGACCTAAATAAGTACGCAGCCAGGATAATAATATAAATATAATAATAAATATTTATTTGTACCCTGCCACTATCTCCCCAAAGGGACTTGGGGTGGATCACAGAAGCACCCCACATACAGACAACTATACATAAGTATAAATGCAATGTCATAAGGATCAGTGCAGGATTTAACTGATCATTTTCCTCTCTATTCTGCTGCAGCTCCAAGTTATAAAAATGAGCTCATGTCATGTGAAACTTACTGTTTTACCTTTCCTCAATAATTGATTTTCAACCTTTTTCTTTTCTTTAGTTCCTACTCATTTTCTACAAAGCTGCATTTGGAGAGCTTGAAGAAGACAGTGGCTTGTTGGCTTTGGCAAAGCTCTCTGAAATAGATGTTGCCCTTGAAGGGGTGAAAGGCGCCAAGAATTTCTTTGAAGCAAAGGTATGAACAAGAGTGTTGGGTCTGATGGTGATGGGGGTCAAAGGAAGCACATAATAGCTGGAAACCTCTGTAATACAACTTTACCAGATTGTGAAGGACATAAGTGTCAAGCTTGAGAGGGCAAGGAATGGAGCTGTGCCTGAGTGCCTTGCTAAGAGTACTGCTAATTGTTGTGTTGCCAGGGAACTACTCAAAGCTGCTTGCAAAAGAAAACCTCTTTACACAAGCCCTTTAAAAGGATATCTGGTCCAGCAACTATCAGGTGCAGTAATGCAGTGCCCCTAGAGCAGTGTTTCTCAACCTGGGGGTTGGGACCCCGGGGGGGGGGGGGGCGCGAGGGGTGCCAGAGGGAGTCATCAAAAACCATCAAAAACACAGTATTTTCTGTTGGTCATGGGGTTCTGTGTGGGAAGTTTGGCCCAATTCTATCCTTGGTGGGGTTCAGAATGCTCTTTGATTGTAGGTGAACTATAAATCCCAGCAACTACAACTCCCAAATGTCAAGGTCTATTTTCCCTAAACTCCACCAGTGTTCACATTTGGGCATATTGAGTATTTGTGCCAAGTTTGGTCCAGATCCATCATTGTTTGAGTCCACAGTGCTCTCTGATGTAGGTGAACTACAACTCCCAAACTCAAGGTCAATGCCCATCAAACCCTTCCAGTATTTTTTCTTGGTCATGGGAGTTCTGTGTGCCAAGTTTGGTTCAATTCCATCGTTGGTGGAGTTCAGAAATGCTCTTTGATTGTAGGTGAACTATAAATCCTTGCAACTACAACTCTCAAATGACAAAATCAATCCACACCCAACCCCACCAGTATTCAAATTTGGGTGTATTGGGTATTTGTGCCAAATTTCATCCAGTGAATGAAAGTACATCCTGCATATCAGATATTTACATTATGATTCATAAGAGTAGTAACATTACAGTTATGAAGTAGCAACGGAAAAAAAAATTATGGTTTGGGGTCACCACAACATGAGGCACTGTATTAAGGGGTCGCGGCATTAGGAAGGTTGAGAACCACTGCCCTAGAGCATCTTGGTCTATATATACTTAAATCAGAAGTCAAGATATTGCATGGCACCTCTGGAACATAATACTCCACAAAAAAAGTTTTATGGCCTTCAGCGGGCAATTTCCAAGTGCCAGAATGCACTAATCTGATTATTTTGTCAAGCTCATGTTCTCTCTGGATGCTAGTTTGGTTCCTCCTACTCTGCATGAGGAGGAATTGAACACCTTCCATTATGTCCTTAAAAAAAACAAATGTTCAATAATATCTTATAACATGAGCATATTACCAACAGTTTCCTGGCCTTAAACTGAAATCTTAGATTGAAAAGTAAGCCCTACTGAACACAAGAAGACTTAAGTTATAAGTTTGCAAGCTTACCAGAAAAAGTCTCGTGCCCCAGATGGCTTCCCAGTAAGTATTACACTTTTGCTGAAATAGTCAGATTTCAAAGAGTGTGTTCAGAAGTACATCATACATATAAATATGTATTTTTCCACTGGGCAATCTTTTCTTGTAGATCAAGTTAGAAAGGACACTCATTCTGTGTGCTTGTGATCGAGTCAAACTGTATACAACTCTGGATAGAATCAGTAATATTATAAACCTACTCTAAGCAATTAAAAAAAAAACCTCCAAAACTATTTACATTTAAATGGAGGAGGAGCCCTAAAGATGGTGGGTGAGTGGAAGAGAAATGTACTACAACTCTGCTTCCCCCTCTTTTATTGGTAACTTGTTATAAGTTCTGAATTAATTTATACTATTAGGTTTGTAGGGCCCCCTGGTGGCACAGTGGGCTAAACCGCTGAGCTGCTGCTGAACTTGCTGACCGTTGTTTGGTGGTTCAAATCCAGGGAACGGGGTGAGCTCCCACTGTTAGGCCCAGCTTCTGCCAACCTAGCAATTCAAAAATGCAAATGTGAGTAGATCAATAGGTACCGCTTCTGCAGGAAGGTAGTGGTGTTACATGTACTCATACTGGCCAAATGACCTTGGAGGCGTCTACGGACAACGCTGGCTCTTCAGCTAAGAAATGGAGATGAGCTGTTTCCCCAGATAACTAGACTTAATGTCTGGGGAAACCTTTACCTTTACTATTAGGCCTGTAGTGTAATATGGCCAATATCTATAATAATTTAAAATGCTATACCATGGTTCAGGAAAAACAAAAGAAGGTAATAAAATGATGATGATAATGATGATGATTATGTGGTGATAATGATGATCATATCATCTGTATGTAGGTGATCCATTGTGTGTATTTTATACCGCTCCAGTCCAAAAGTTCAGGACTGTCACTTTGTACATCAGGTTTAAATCTAATATACAAGTTGATGGTTCTAATATTCTGGCTTGGAGTATTGTTATGTATTGCTGATTGCTCAGAGCAGCTCATAATAAAGTGTATCTTCTCTCTCCTGATCCTTGCCTGTATTTTAGGTTCAAGCTTTGTCTTGCGCCAGCAAGTTTGAAGCAGAAATAAAAGCAGAGCAAGATGAGCGAAAACGTGAGGAAGAGGAAAGAAAGCACCGCAGGGCAGCGTTCCGAGAACTCAAGTCAGCATTCAGTCAGTAAACAGAGCAACCTGTCTGTTAGTGGAGACTGGAGTACATTTTTAAAAACCTCACCTTTGGTGAGCCATTCACCTGCAGAAGAAGAAAAAACAGATTTGATGTCATCGGACTTAAAAAAAAAAGAACTTTCTAATTAGAAGCTGGAGAATATCCATATGGTATTATGATTGATACAAATGCTAAAGAGTAGTCAAGGGGACATTTTCACTCTAGTGGGCGTTGCTAGAGGAATTAAAATTCCCTAATTTTATGCATAGAGAGAACATTGGAGCATTTGATAACAATAATGCCAACCAATTGTGTTTTGTGGTTAGAATTTTTTTCCTGTCATTCTGAATGCCTCCGTCTTGTAGCTATATATTTTTTTCTTTAGTGTTCCCATTCTCATTGCCTTTTTGGATCTTTCTGATTTTCACAAAACTAATTTCCTGCTTCTCAATAAACAGGGTATTTCTTTGGGTTTATAGTTTTTTCATGCACAAATAGATGCCCTATTGGCTTATTACCCTTTTTGTTCTTCTTACCCTAGGAAATAGATTTCTAGGCCATTCCCAGCAATTAATCAGTTAGCCGATATTGGCAATACATGAGTGGCACTACATGAGTTTCTGCCAGTTACTTCTAGCCTTCCAAATGCTGCAGCTTTTCATTTTCCGGTTTCAAGCAATACAAGGGGCTGAAAATATAATGAGGTGTTAGGAAAGCCATGCTGAATGGATAGAATTCCACTCACACTTTTCCCAATCCAAGCCAGTCAAATATTTTGTGAAATAACATTTTGTTCAAGGGTGTAATGGCCACTGTTCATTTTTGTTTCTTTTCACATTCACATAAGTGGCTGTGCTCTAAATAGGAAAAATTGATTCGAATCGTACTGTCTACTTTTCTGGGCACATTCCATGCTTCTGAAAGACACTGGGCTTACAGAAGCAAGGAAACACCAATCAATATGTCATTTAGGGAAATGGATAATATGCTTTGGGGACAAATTATCTTTCTGTCATGCAAATCTTTTTTCTTGTGGACATGTGGGAATCCAACAACGTATGTAGTCACCAGTTACGTAAAATGGTCCCTTCCATCAGTTTCTGTTTGCAAGAGGAAACACATTCCAAATGCAGATTGTGGTGTTTATACTATTCAAGCCTGTATTATATTCAGAATTTTCACTTATGTATATATTTCTGCATACCTTAGAAAACAAAAAATGCCTTCCTGTCTTCAGATCACAAACCAGATATTTCACCTTTATTTTGACTAGTTTTTTTAGCTTTTTACACTATGACACTAAACTGTGAGTCTCGAATAATTCAAGGGAACCCATTTAGTAATGGGTGGGAGAATTGCTAAACAATTAAAACTATATTTGCAAGTCCACAGATTATATTCGGTAAGAATCACATGTTTAGCTAAAAATATTTATAATAAATGTTTTTATACTTTACAAAGTTTGAATTGTTATTTCTTTCTTCTTTCTTAGTTGTGCAAATAAACTTTTATTAAATCCGATTGATGCTGTCTTGACTTTCTTCATTCTCTCTGCAATTAGTACCAAAGTCAGATATTCATGCTAATTGCGGAACTATCAAAGTCAGACTTTTTAGGATATTGTAGAATTACCACTAACACATAGAATCATAGTGTTGGAAGAGTCCTCATGGGCCATCCAGTCCAACCCTCTGCCAAGAAGCAGGAAAATTGCCTTCAAAGCACCCCTGACAGATGACCATCCAACCTCTGTTTAAAAGCTTCCAAAGAAGGAGCTTCCACCACAGTCCAGGGCATAGAGTTCCACTGCTGAACAGCTCTCACAGTGAGGAAGTACTTCCTAACGTTCAGGTGGAATCTCCTTTTCTGTAGTTTGAAGCCATTGTTCCACATCCTAGTCTCCAAAGCAGCAGAAAACAAGCTTGCTCCCTCTTCCGTATGACTTTCCCTTATATGGACATCATGTCTCCTCTCAGCCTTCTCTTCTGCAGGCTAAACATGCCTAGATCTTTTAAAGCCCTCCTCGTAGGGCTTGTTCTCCTTGATCATTTAAGTTGCTCTTCTCTGGACACATTCCAGCATGTCAACATCTCCCTTATAATGTGGTGCCCAGAACTGGACACAGTATTCCAGGTGTGGTTTGACCAAGGCAGAATTTTGTGATAACAATTATTGGAGTACTATTTTGAGCCTTAAAGATAATACTGTGTGCAAATATTAATCAAATACTCATATGGTTAATTCTAAAGAGTCCAAAATTGCATTAACTTATTTTCACTTATTTTTTATGCCTACAAAATGTGTTTAAAAATATAGATCCAGTTATTTGTATTTTTAAGTAAATTTATGTGAGGTGATTTATGTGTCCTATTTGTAGAACCATTTGGGCTTTTTTTCCCTTGTGGAAACAATGTGACACTGTTTTTGTTTGAATCCATTTAAAAAAGTTATTTGCAACCTATTTTTGTTATAATTCCTTTAAGGAGTACCTACTTAAGAAAAAAAGTGCAATATAAATGGTATAAGCCAATATATATAGTATATATTGGCTTACACTATTTTATGTGCAATAGTAATCAATAGCAAGGCTGCCTTTTTAACTAGTCATTAGTAACTATCCAGTGAGCAGAGCTAATGTAGAAACATCCAAGTAGAGCTTTGCAAGTAGCATTACTGTATAGATAACATAAAATGAGATTTTTGATCTTATGCTGTAGATAAGTTAAAAGAGTTGAATGTAAGCAAAATGGTACAGAATAACAACTCCGCCTTTGAGGAGCAGGCAAGAAGACTGGTTGCTGCTCACATAAACAATGATTTAGCGAGTCCTTGAGAAGTAAATAAGGATGAGTGCCACTTTACTGTGACAAGTAAAGTGCAGTGCTATATTGGGTAGGGAAGGCAGAAGACAGAATATGTCAGGTTTGGAGTAATTATTCTGAATAAGAAGACAGAAGAACATATTTTAAGCGTACATTAACATTCATGTACCGAATGGGTATATGAGTAAGCTGTTTTGTCTCATTTTTGTACCATGCTTACATGCAAGGTGCAGATCTTGACAAGGATGGGAACCAAAGACTGTCCAAATAGCATTAATTTTTCACTTGGGTGCCTTTAATTAGCTGTGCTGGTACTTTAGATGTGACTGCTACTGAGCAGACAGAACCAAGCTACACTTACCTGTGCTGTGACAACTCACAAACTAGAATACTGCATTGTATTGTTCAGGACTTCCACTGAAGACTTCCCAGAAACTTCAGCTTGTCCGAAATATTCCCAATTCCCAATGAACACTCATAAGAAAACATGCATTTAGATTTAGTATTTCTGCAACTGTAAGATACATTTTTCCTATACAACAACAACAATTCTTTATCGATTAGTCAATTTTGACCATATCAAAACATACACACTTGCCCATACGTACAGTAAAACCATATATGAATACAAGGCATCCCGACCTACTGGCCTGTCATTTTTCCTATATAAACATCTCTAAAAATTGGATGCATATTAAAATCACAGGTGTATCTTATGCATTTTTGTTGATGGTGGTTGTACTGAAATTAGGGTGTGTCTTACAATTGAAGAAATACGGTAATTCCACTGTTTGCAAGTATAATTGGAAGTGTCGGTGCACACACCTTTTCAAACTACTGCATACTGTTTGGAGCCTACATACCTATAGGACCCTTCCACACAGCCATGTAACCCAGAATCTCAAGACAGAAAATCCCACAGTATCAGCTTTGAACTGGGTTATCTTGAGTCCACACTGCCATATATTCCAGTTCAAAGCAGATAATGTGGGATTTTATTCTGCTGTGTGGAAGGGTTCCATTGAACTTGAACTTGTTCATATGCTTTAGCCGTCTTTGGAGTCCTTCTCCTGGTGTCGCATTTTCTAGAAATAGATGTTGGACCTCTAGCTCTTTTCAATTCTGGCATCCCACCTGTTTCCACGGAGCCTTCTCTGATGCCCCCACTTCATTATTTTGAAGTTAGGCAAAGACCTTGGGCTTTTAGATAATGTTGTTTACTACTGCTGTGCTTTTAGCCTGCATTTCTTAAAATGTGTTTTCATAAACTTTTTTTTAAAAGCAATGTTAACTGTATCTACAGCAGATGCAAAAGTATGAAGGGCTAACTGTTAAAACAATGTGAAACAAACAATTTCCTTCTTTGCACAAAGAAGCCTGAGAGTTAAGATTCAGCAACTTGGTAATTGCATGAGTGACTGAAGAAAATATGGTGATATGGTATAACAGGCAAATTAGGTGTAACCAGGTGCAGTAATCCTTGAGATCCTAAATCTTTTCCATGCTTGTCCTAAATTAAAATTACAGACTGTTGATCTTGCTCTGCGATAGGAACTACATAAAAACAACTGTTGTTATATCAAGTTTTGCCCAGGGTGGATGACTAACATTCAAGCTCAACCTTGCAATTTATAGTTGTTGTTTATGATTATGAAACTACTGGATTTTTCCTTAACTGGTGAGAGAACACTATTGTTATGCTCGTACTATTAAATCTAAGATCACTTGTGTCACCCATTTGAAGAGAATCCTTTCTCCTTTAACTAAAGAGATTCTCAAGACAATGAAAATGAAATTACTATATAAAATAGTACAAAATTCAGTTAAAAATCATGTGTACTGCAGCTGTCAAGCTGCTGTACTAATCACATCAGCTGTCATGCAAATGTGGGATCAATAGGTACCGCCTTGGCAGGAAGGTAACGGCGCTCCATGCAGTCATGCCGGCCACATCACCTTGGAGGTGTCTACAGACAACGCCGGCTCTTCGGCTTAGAAATGGAGATGATCACCAACCCCCAGAGTCAGACACAACTGGACTTTATGTCAGGGGAAAACCTTTATTTTACAGCAGCTGTCAATCTCCTATTGAGTACACTTTTTAGTTATTGGAAAGCCATATGGCATTTTTAAAAAGTTTTCACAGATTTGCAGAACATGCTGGAGTAGCAAGCCTGTCTAATTTCCCAGAACTGGAATGCTAAATTATAAAGGCTGGCTTAAAATAATAGCTTTCTTTTGTAGCTCTTTTTGTATTTTGATACTGATGTTTATTACAAATTGATTTTGTTACTTTGTGTGCTGCTTGCAATTTGGAAGGAAACTGAAATCTATGAGATAGTTATCCAATAATTTTAAAGAGAGTTTACCTTTACCTCAGTGTTGAGGCAGCTGTGCTTAAAGCATTATTATTGCATCAGAATCTCACTGTAATTATGTACATGTAAGAAAAAAATGCATTTAAAATATTGGAGCTGGGCTATTTCAGGCTTTTAAGGTTCAAGTTAGTGCTGTGGATCTTGCATGAAAATAAAAAAGTTCAACGAACAATGAATCAGTGTTAATATTTCTTCAATGAAGACCAAACAATAGATATCCCTGTATGCAAGCTCTATACAAAGCACATTACAGTACATAAGTCAATAATTATCATAGCATGCCAGGACCTGGTGATCTCCGTATTGAGAGGCAGACTTAAAGCACATGCTTCTTAGAAATGTATTTATGATATGCTTCAAAATATATTTATCAAAGGGCAAATTCAGGTCTTTCGGGCAAACTGTATCCAAAGGAACTGAGGTCTTTCAGGCAAACTGTACAATTTCTTCTATCATTATGTTTGTATTTTGGTAAAACTGACATAGCTTAGTTGTAGCTGTATATTCTTCTTTTTTCAGTCAAAACAATCATGAGCATGGTTCAGCAATCCATAAACCAGCACTATAAAGGTCCTTTCATCTAAGAAAGTCAATGCACAGTGATACTGGAGGAGGCAATGCCGTTAGAGGTTCTATGCCTCAAATAAATGAACAAATTAATAAATTTAGACAAAAGCTCCTGTCAAGCCCAACCAATGGCAAACCATGCATTAGTCAGTCTAGTGCAATTAGCCTGAAACAAAAAGTGTGAATTATTAAAAACGACGATAGTGCTTGTCATTCAAACCTTTAAAAATTAAACAATGCATTAAATAGTTTTAATGCGCCTTCAGGTCTTCTGCAGCACACCACAACTTTCTCATAGGGTCTTCCTGGAGATTCATTCAGAGAAAGTTTGCCATTGCCTTCCTCTTAAGTGATTTACCCAAGGTTACCCATTGGGTTTCCACAACTGAATGGGATTAAATGGATCATATGCAAAATCATATCTCTGTATACCAGGAGAGCTAATCCTTCCCCCTACAATGCAGTCTCAAATTTTCTATTTTTTCAGAAGGCAAACTACTATTTAAACTTTATCCCCACTATTAGTATAAGAATGTATAAGTTACTGTTGTTAATTGCCATCAACTTGGATTTCTGGCAGCCCTATGAATGAGAGGCCTCCAAGTCACCCTTGCAAACTGAGAGCTGTGACTTCCTTGAGGGAATTTATCCATCTGGAATGTGGCCTTCCTCTTTTTTCTACTACCTTTTACCTAACCAAGCATTTTTTCTTCCCCTAGTGAGTCATGTATTCTCATGAGATGTCCACTTTATC